GCGCTGCCCGCAAAGGTGAGTGCTGAGCTGGGCTGCACCAGGTGCCAGCGTGCTGCCAGCGTGCAAAGGGCGCTGATCCTGCCCCTCTGCTCAGCTCTAAGGAGGCTGCAGCTGGAGTGCTGGGCCCAGTGATAGGCTCCCCAGCGCAGGGGAGAGCTGCCCTTGATCATCTTGCACGTCCTCAGCCCTGGGATGTGCTAACTGTCCCAACCGCCCAGGGCTTGCTCGGCTTGGTGCTGAGTTTGGAGGGCAGCGGTCCTTGCAGTGAGGAGCAGGGCTTGTTCCCAGCCTCAGAGAGGAGCCAGTCCACCACGCAGGTATGACATCCCCTCATGCCTCACAACTACTGACCCACCTATCATCAGGTTTGCACATCACAGTAAGCTTTTGGCATCATTAAACTTTAAAAATTCATTAAAACAATGGATCAAACAAAAAACCCAGGCACCCCTGCCACACACATTCTCTGTGACACAAGACAGCCTACAATTGTGACTAGAATTGAAAGAACAGCTAGTTACATGCGGTCCAAACCTAACCTCAGAAATCTTTGCTCCTCCTGCAGCTGTCACCACGAGGACAACGAATCTAGGCTTCTGTCTGCTTACACTTACTTTTTGTTGAACATGATTTGTTTCAGTATTTCGTACCTGTTGTGCATGGAGTATTTGTTTTGGTACTTACTTGGTTTTTTCCAAGTACTCATCAATGAGCTGGACTATTAATCACAGTTTACTTGCTTGAATAATGAAATTATGGAAAGTTCCTTCATAAATACAAGCTAGTCTATGAATGTTTGGAACTTGATTATTTTTTTTCCAAAGTATATGAAGATAAAATAAAAGCAAAGCCTTAAATAAACCCAGACCGCATTGGAAGAAACTTTCAGCAAACTTTCTTAACCTCAGTACTCACATCCTTTTCCACATCATTTATTTTCAGCAGTACAGATCCCTGCAGAAGCTGACTTGTAACAACCCATGAACAGAGAACTGACCATTTACAATGGCTTTCTTTGTCCTGTCTTTTAGATATGTGTCCATGCTGTAACCTTTCTTAACCTTACCTTTCCATCAAAAATTCTCATAGGAAATACGGTCAAAATACGGTCAAAGCCTCCTGGAAATGTAAATAGACTGTATCAGTCAGATCATCACTCTGCATGTGCTTTAACTGCTCATATGTAAAACATCATTGCAATTTGAAAGCCATTACACAGAGATGATGGGGTCTGTAAATAAACCAAGAACAACTATCCAACTGCAACTCTTCACAGTCATCTCAGTTGATTCCTGCGTAGTCTTTTCCCACACAGAAACTGCTCCACGTGGCACGTAATTCTTGTCAATCCTTTATTTCACGTCTACCTTTGCTATACCTATTCTGGGAAGAGGTAATCAGAACTCTGAACTGTGTCTAAGGGTGTGGACGCATACCAAATTAGATCATGTTTGCAGAAGGCTGCTCTTGCAGTGCTTTAGAAGCCAGCCAACTGTGCAATAGTGAGTGCTGAGACACTTTCAGTGCCTCCCATGTGGCACGCACTGTGCATGGTACATGTGTGCCGTGGCACGTGCCTTTCAAAAACTCAAGGGAGAATTTTTAGACAGTGGTCTTCAGTTAAAAAGGAAAGAAAAGAAGAAAAAAAAGGACAGTATCAATTTCTTAGAAGCACTGGAAATGTTACAGCAATTTAACTCTAAAAATATGTTGCTCCGCTGTATCACTAGAGGCTAAATACAGTCCTATCAAAACTACACTGACTTTGTCAGAGCCAGCTAGAGCTAGGTAACTTCAGCTCTGTCTCAGACTGGGGAGAAGGGTATAAGGGCAATGTGCTTTCCTGCTCATTTAGTCTAGATTTTCATGTTCTCGTAGCTGATCCTCCTATCCCACACATGTTTAGGCAGCACTGGACTTGTTCTCTGACAATTTTTTCCAAAAAATCATAACAATTTTCCTTTATTTTATATTCTATTACAGCAGGTGAAGACATTTGCAATGTCAGAAAGACACGGACAAATAAGTAGATCCCCATCTGATTTATATTACCAGGAAGGCTCGTAGCCTAGAAAAATCAAAATGCCCTTAAGGTGCTTTTAAGCCAGGTTTCAAAAACCTCACAGTTTTCAGTAGTTCCCTCTTTGCTTTAAATGTTTCATTCCTGGAACAATCTCACTAGAGGTTGGTTGCCTGCTCCAATATACAAGTTGCAAAGAGATTCTGCTGGAAAGGAGCAGCCAATAATAAATACCAAGCATAATTCATACACAATTTCATTTTTTAAAGAAAAATCTTAATATATTAATACATATACTAAAGCCTCAAGACCCTACATACACAAAACAAAAGAAAATAATTGAAGCTCATGGTAATCTGAAGTTTCTGTGCCAGACAGTCTCATCATTCTGAGGGGATTCATATACTTAAAAATGAAGCTAGAAGATTATGATGTTTCCTTTTAAATTAGGTGAGTCACTACACAGATAACTGAGAACTATTCCAGCCTTAGTTACAAAAATCAAAAAGTAAAAAAAGTCTAAAACAATCTTTGCCTACAAATATTGGGGAAGAGCAACACTTGCCAGTTCCTTCAAAAGCAGTTTCCCAGGAGACCTTGTTCATTAGTTTCCTGAGCAGCCTGAAATCTGCTCTCCCTACATTCAGGGTTGAAGTTTTGGTGGTAGTTTGCCTCCTAACAAAGATTTTAAACCAACAACTTCCCAGTCACTATGATCTAGATGGCAACTTCACCCATATAAACCCTCTATTTAAAAGAGGAGCACATTCCTTAGTTCTCTTTGTACCAAGAAGTTATCATCAAAGTAAAGGATGAATGTCCTGTACTTGTTTGCAGCAGCAAGTTGTCACCCCTAAGGACAAGAGCAGCTGATCCAGAGGTATCTCTTTAGTTCTCTTAGTAATCAGGCTGAGAGAGTTGGGGCTGTTCAGTCTGCAGAAGAGAAGGCTCCAAGGAGACCACATAGCAGCATTCCAGTACCTGAAGGGGCATACAGGAAAGCTGGGAGGGACTTTTTATAAGGGCATGTAGAGACAGGAAAGGGGAAATGGCTTTAAACTGGAAGAGAGTAGATTTAGACTAGATATCAGGAAGAAATTCTTTACTGTGAGGGTGGTGAGACACTGGAACAGGTTGCCCAGCGAGGCAGTGAATGCCCCTCCCTGAGGCTTTCTAGGCCAGGCTGGATGAGGCTTTAAGCAACCTGGTCTAGTGAGAGGTGTCCCTGCCTATAGCAGGGAATTGGAAGTAGATGATCTTAAAGGTCCCTTCCAACCCAAACCATTCTATGATTCTATGATTCTTAAAGAATAATTCATTGCTATCATTGTCCTGACTGGATGGCACATAGCAGACTCCTACCACAACATCTCCCTTATTTGCTTGTCTGGTTTTATTCCTTTTCCCCTGGAATCTGCATTAAAGTTCTACTGATCAGCCCCAGTAACTCTTGTACAAAAATGCCATGAGAAAGGTGCATCCCACTAGATGCCAGCAGGCCTGGTGTCATGTAGACCATCCCATGATCTAGAAACACAAAATTGTGTCAGTGATACCAGCCTTGGAGCCACATGTGGATCAGCTGGGTCTGTCGTTCCTGTCACTATTGCTCCCTGCTACCAGAAGGCTGAAAGAAAATGCTGCTGCCACCTGACTCACAGGAAGCTGGAGCACACCCTGGGTGGTTACATGCTCCCCTGAGAGCTCAGTTTGGGTGGCTGCAACTGGAGGGGATGCAGGGGAGACAGGGGATACAGCTTTCTGCCAAGTGGGTGCCATGACTACAGAAGAAAGCCTGTTTTTTCTCTAGGATTGTGCAGCCAAAGCACTTCACAGCTGTTACTGAATTCTCAATTGCCCTTGATGAAATGAGAACATTTTTTTGCTAATATCTGACATGGGAAAAAAAACAAGGACTAACCACCTTTTTTCAAAAAGCAGACTGCCACATCTGCAAGTACAGTTTACTCCAGTGGGATGTGGAAAGCAAAGGTAATGCCTTTACTGGAACTCAATATAAAGCCCAAGGGAAAGTAAATCCTCTTACTATTCTCTACACTTACAGCTGCTGCTGGGCCACACCTCAGCATCCAAGGAGGATTGTGGAAGTTCTAACTTAATTACAACAGGAAACTGTGGCTGCATTCAGTCACAACAGCAGTCCCACATCTCAAGGGGCATCACATTCTACTTGTGTGCTCCCTTAGGGGATACGGCCCTCAGTGCTGACTGCTGCACAGTGCTGCAGCTTCTTCCTCCTCTACCCTCTATGGCATCAGAGAAATTCAATAGTTTTTGTAGAACTGGTGGGCCAAAGGTATCTAAATATCACAGTCTCTCCCTGTAAAATCAACTGTACAACATAATATCTTGACAGCTGTTGGACAGCAGTGGGATCAATTAGACCAGATAATGCTTTAGCTTTAGATTAAAAGGTAGATTACAGAAAGATTACAGACAAATACCCTTAGGGTATTGTCCACCGATCATCCCTCTGTACAGCGTCCGGGCAGGGTGCTGAGCCCAGAATTAACCTCTCAGCATTGACTCCAGAGCTGGGAACATTCAGTGTGAGGGATCGCTCCTCCCTGCTGCTCCCCATGGAGCCTGCAGCCACGGCGCCATCAGACCCACATCCCACCTGAGTGCCGGTCCCTACACAGCCCCTAATGCACATGAGACACAGAAAAGAAAGGGCCTCTGAGCAGCTACCTGGCAGCTAACCACAGTCACAAGCAGAAAGGAAGGAAATTCAGTTTTCCGTTAAGAAGTCCCTTTCCCTATACAGCACAAACTTATTGTGATCTCATTTCATTTTTGAGATTCCCAAGATGGGTAACTGTTCCAGGTAACCTCAGTAAAGCACTTTGGTGTTCTGATGCTTCTTGTTTATCAGCCCCCACCATTTTTCAGCGGTGCAGCAGTGCCTGTGAGTTTATTTTATTTTCATTAATACCACAATTTAACATTTTTGCTCATATAAAAACATTATTGTGAAAAGCCTTAAAAAATAGTATTGAGGTTATTGCCCATTGCGGGATAGCCTTCCTTTCTTCTCAGTGACAATTAAGAGATTTCTGTGTGACTTCAGATTGCATTTCTGGATCAGTTCATTTTCCCTATTCATTTTAAGAAGGGCTGTCAGAACAGGCAACACTGAGCTGCTGAGAACCAACAAAGAAATGTTAATTTCTGTCTTTTTTTTTGTCCAGGGCTCACTGGTAAATTACTACTAATACTGAAAGGTTTTCAACCACACAATTGTTAGAGATTTAGGCATCTTACTTCCTATTTTCAGCCACGGACGTAATGCAAAGCTCCGAAGAAGCAGAAAAACAAAAACAAAGAGCATCAAAGAAACCCAACAACAAAATGCTGTCAAATGATTTTCATAATGCCTGGCATTGCAACAGAAAGCCAAAAGTGCATGACTTCCCCACAGTTCTGAGATATGACTGAACTAATTTTTGCTTTGTTTCATTGCTACACCATCTCAGAATCTCTGGACTGTAGGTTTCAGTACAGCCTTCTTTACAACACTTCATAATAGGGATAACCAAGAAACACCTGTCCTCAAATTACATTAAACTTAATTTGCCATCTCACCATGACTGCCCTAGGCCTCTGAATTACTACAGGTGTTAACAGCCCTTCTGTTCAGAGCTGCCAGAGCATTAAACACCCATGACTGTTTCCATTCTAGTCAATCCAGAATCAGTTGGTAACAGCGATGCACTAGCCATCATCATCATTATTGATTATAATTATTATTTATTATTATTTAGAGCAGTAACAGTTGGACTCAGCATTTTGTGGAGATTTACTGAAAAGAAGCTGTTTGTTTGTCTAACAAAGTGTAGAAAACTGTTTTCAGGCCCAAGGAGGAAACTTCAGCCTTGAAGCGACCATGTTACCACCAAGGTTGTTCTGCCTCTCCACGCACCATTTCCCACCTCTCTTTCCAAAGAGACACTTTACAGAAAGCAGCCAGTTATGAGCCTCCTGTCTCTTGTGGAGGAACACGCTGGCCAGCAGAATTATAGAGCAGAATCGTAGATCATTAATGTTGAAAAGACCTCTAAGATCATCAAGTCCAACTGCCGATCCATCACAAGCATGCCCACTAACCATGTCTCTCAGTGTCACATCTGCACATTTCTTGAACTCCTCCAGGTCTGCTTCTGATGCGCAGCCTTCCAGTCACTCTGCACCACGCCTGTAACAATGCATGGGGTTGCTGCAATTAAAGTGCAAGACACAGCACTTGGTCCTGCTGAACAATTGGCCTCACCCCATCAATCCAGCCTACCCAGATCCCTCTGTAGGGCCTTCCTACCCTCAGGCAGATCAACACTCCCTCCCAGCTTGGTGTCAGATCATCCATAAAGATATTTAAGGAGAAACAGAAGGCACAAGTCAGACTGCCTCTTTCTCTGAAAGGGCAAATAAGGATGCACCGGTGGTTTAAAAAAATCAGATTCCTTGATGACAACCACAGAGGGGAATAAAGGTTGATTTCTGTATTTGCAGAGGGCCAGAGTTCCAGGATATGCCAGCATTACACACCATTGTAAAACCTCAAAGGTTTTACAATACTAAAGGAAGTATGATTATTTTGTTTGCAAGAGAAGCATGGGACTGACACAAACATAGCCTCAGAAGTCCTTCACAGCAAAGGAACCTTATCAAGGAAACTCACTGTGGGGTTTAGCACAGAATTAAACAATTCTACCCTGGCCATTGTGTTTCTTTTGGATATACAACAGCCTTGGCCCTCAGCTTCCACCAGGAAACGGGAACAGGCTACTGGATCCCTTACTGGGACACTTCGTCACATTTCTAGAGCTTGAACTCCAGCTGCAGAAAGACCCCCTCCCTTAAACATAAACTGTGGGCTGCTATTACCTCCCACGTGGACCTGCTGCTGCTGCTCTGTTGGTGCCGAGCCCTGAACTCTGCGGCACCTACTCAGCACTGTGAAGAGCGCAAGAATTCCCTAGAATGGAAAAGGCAGTTATTCACTGAACAAACTGTGATTTGGGGATTGGTCTTATGTAAAGATGCTACATTAGCCTGTTGTATTTTAGAACAGCTTTCCTAATGAAAATAATAGAATGCGTTAAGAAGTTGTGCAGTCTTTCTTGCTGTTAGTATGACAAGCAAGTTTGACAGACGCGGGCGGGGTGAGGGTGGGGGACGGGGACAGACACGTGACCTTTACCGAGCTGAATGGACTGGATGCTTTCTGCCGGTCCTTCTAGGTTATGTATTTCTGCAGCTGAGCCACGCTTCCTCCACACCACGCTGCCCTTTGCTGCCCGCCGCAGCAAAGAAACGCGTTTCTGCAACGTCTGCGTTATCAGCCGCATCCCTGCCCCTCCAGGCCCGCGCCCGGAGCGCCGCGCCGCCGCTTCCCGTCGCAGGGTGTGTGACTTTCGCGCAGTCCCGGTTACCCTACGCAAGAGCCGACGGAGGAGCGACAGCCGCAGCCCGAGCCGCCTCCTCCTCCACTTCCGAGCAGGCGCAGCGGCGGGGCGCGGCGAGACCTCTGCCGCCGGGCCGCGGGGCTCGGCAGGGGCCGGCGAGGCCACAGGACGGAGCCCGCAGCCACGGTAAGGCTGGACGGAGCGGGGCAGAGCGGGCCAGGAAGCCGGCCGCTCCACCGAAACCGAAAGCCCTGCGCCGCCCCCATCTTGCGGCGACGCCGCCGTCGGCTCGCGGCTCCCGGGCCGGCCTCGGTGCCCGCCAGACTGACGGCCCCAGAGAGGCGAGGCGCGGCGCGGTGTGCGGCACGCGGGAACGGTGAGAGAGCGGGGAGGCGGCACGAGCGGGGCCGGCGGGCAGGAAGCCGCCAGCAGGAGCCCAAGGAGGACGCGCTGCCGGCCGGCGAAAAGTAGGCCGGAACCAAAGCCCGGGTCCTGACAGCCGGGCTGCCCGTGCTGTGTCCTGCGGAGGGATGCGCGTCTTTGTGAGCGCTTATAAAGCGACGTGATACCGTTGTACTGCTGGAAAGCGTCCCGCAGACCCTCTCTGCTCCGCCCTTCCCCGTGTCCCTCTGCTCTTTTACCAGAGCACTCTGCGTGTCCTTACTGTCTGCTTCTTTCCTTCCTCAATATAGACGCTCAGAGAAGTATGTTGGGAATAATGTGTTTTGTAATCGACCAGCTGTACTGGTGAGAGTGACTTTATAGGATACAAACTGCCTGCAAGAAGTAGAGTTGGCCTCTGTAAGGCTAGGCTGAGCTGAACCACAAAACGTCTTTTCTCTCAATCACAGACACTTAATGTATGTATTGCTGTATCACAGGTGCTAAGGACACGTCTGAACCGCCATGTATCTCAAAAAGCTTTGAATGGACCTGAGCCTTCCTCCTTGATTTCTGCATTATCTGACACTCCCAGGTAACAACAGCCAGTACCTCATTAGGTAGCATACTGAAATAAGTAGTCTTTAAATAATACACACCTATGTATGTAATGTGTGTTCAGAAGAGCAGTACGTGCAATTCTTGCGTGAGCACTTCCTACTTAGATGTGATGTTACCGTTAGCATGCATAATTCACTATGCATCACAATCACAGAATGGCCAGGGTTGAAAAGGACCACAGTGATCATCGAGTTTCAACCCCCCTGCTATGTGCAGGGTTGCCAACCACCAGACCAGGCTGCCCAGAGCCACATCCAGCCTGATGTTAAAGTCTCATGACTGAATTCAGGCCTTTGTACTCTGGACACCTATACCCATCAGCAGCATCTCACCAACTACACCAAGGAAGCCATAAGACCATCACTGGGAACTTCCAAGGAGACAAGAGCAGCAGCGGGGATTTCCAGCAGCACAAGGTGCCTGTGCTTTCTAGGCAGGCTAGCACTCCAACAAAACACAATCAGCATTCTTTCAAGTCTAGGAAAGCCAAAGAAAAAAACTCTGAGAAGAGCAAACTGCTTCAACTGTAAGAAGGATTTCCTGTTGTCTGTATGACAACAGATCATAGCATATACATGTACAGGGAAGGAACTGTTGTTTTCTGTATTTTACAGAATACAGAAAGTTATTATGCTTTAATCTTCCCTATTTTGGCTTGTCAGTATAGAAACCATCAGCCGGTTTCCGGATCTGCACATTATCATCTCTCTTCCTGAAGGTCCTGAATAAACTAATCTATTGCTGCTGACAGTGTCTCTGTTATAGCTGTCACAGCCACCCAGAAGAAACCACAACTGTGCAACCCTTCTGGTCTCTTGGACTTTGCCTTTTATTAGAAAGCTTTTCCTTTACATGACATAACATGATTACCTCCTGAGAGACACGTCAGGCAAGAGAGTACTGCAGCTTTATCAGAAGCTTAAAATGGTTAGGGTATTCACTGGGGTGACTCGCCTACCCATTGCAAGGCTCTCCCAAGTTCTCAGTCTTTTTTGTTGTTGTTGTTTTATTCAGGAGTTACTGCAAGGGATGGGGACAAGAGAGCGTTGCCTATATCCCCACCACCACAGTCCTTGCCAGTGTTTGTCTCCTTAAATTGAGGCAGCTGTGAAAAGGAGTTTTCTACAGAAGCTGGGTTCTCTCATCATCCAGAGAAAACTTCCCTTTATTTTAAACTTCAAGCAAACTCTTGAAAGCTGAATTTGCAAAGATGCTTAAGATGTATCTTAGAGTTATATAAGTATATAGGCACCTGGTAGACCTACATTCAAGCAATATAGAAAATAAATTGCCTCTCAGAATTGCTATGCACAACCTGCCCTTGGAACTGTGGCCCTTGGTTTTTCAGGTTCTCAGTTTTTGCAAGCGAAGCATGAGGTACAAGGACAGTACCAATCCACTACATATTATATGGATAGGAACACATATTATTAACAGTGATTTGCAGCAATCAGGCGAGGAAACAGTTTAACATCACTTTAATATAACTGTAATGGATTGATAGAATACATCACTTGTGATCTTAAGGTCTCATCCTACAAGAGAACAGCAGTATCTTCAGTTTGGCCCTTTGAAATGCAGCTAGTTCAGAGGAGTTATAAGAGTATATATGCCAGTGTCCCTCTCCTTACGTAGAAGCTTACTTAGTGGAACAGCTAAATGCTGAATAATGACACTTTCTTTTTCTCTTTCCTATAGGAAGACTTCATTTCCTTTTTATTGCTAAGCCACAAAGCCTGCAAACATGTCACTGGATGACATCCACATGAGCACAGAGGATTTGATAGACAAACAACAATTAGATGCTGGAGGATATGGAAAAATTTCGTTATGCCTTCACAGGATATATGGATACGTAGTATTAAAAACAGTGTATACAGGACCCCAGCGCACTGAGTAAGTTGAAGATGTATTCTTTCAGTTTAACGAGTCCTCCAAACTCAATGGAGATAAATCTAAAGAAAAGTTAGTAATTTAAGATCTTTGGATTCTAGAGATGCTGGGGGAAACCACTCTTAAAACGAGCACCAGCGGCTTTCCTTCAAATTTTCACTTTTCCCTCATTAGCCACCTTTTCTGCAGGTCTAACTCAGTACAGGAAGTTCCCAGGTTTGTTATTCTGGTTTGGTTTTTTTTCAGAGGTGTGTGCTGCTGTGAACTGTTAAGTCTTGCACACCTAAGCAGATGCAGGAACTCAGAGGACATGTTATTTTCAAGCTTGCCGATCAGTTTTCAATATAGATGTCCACTAGGAACTAAACAGACACTGTCAGCAGTACTCCAGCCCTACAGTTATGATACCAAGAATGTAGCTCTCTCTTCTGAGAAGAACTGTGAGCTAAACCCACTGATTTAATTCACTGATTTAATTAAATTTGATTTTATTTTGCCAGTGTAAAGTGAATTAAGAGATTCTGGTAGTTTGCAGATTGCGCTGATGGCTGGGACAAACATTTAAAAACGACAAGCTTGCCAGCTTTGTTTCTGGTTTTGTTTCTTTTCAGTCTCATTGTCCAGGCTGTTTAAGTTTTTTATTCCTTAAAAGTCTTGAATCAAAAGTCTTAAGCTAAGTGAGCTTAAAGCAAACAAAACAACTACTTTCTCTAGTACTGGAGAGGAAGACAGAGGGAGAAAGCAGTTTCCCTTTTAGTCACAGGCTAGGAAAGCATTAGCGAGCAATAGAGTCTCAAGCTGTTCTTGCTTCCATTTGCCTGTGACTTAACGGGGGTAATAGCAAAATACCATCCCTACTTATATCTAAGTGCATGGATACCTTCCTTCTCTAATCGTGAGCTCCTGTCTGCACACCCTGACTACTGGTGAGTTGGATTATGGCCCAGGTGACCAGACTTCGAGTTCACTCTAAACCCATCATCCATAGTAAATGTTATCAGCATCCAGTATGTGGGTAGACTCCATAGTAAATCCACTGTACCAGTTCAAAACAAAGAGAAGAAATGGTTCATCTTCCAGCAGCTCTGGGGAGGTTGATGTTTGGCTATCATTGTCATGATCAATCAACAGTGTTTTCATTCCTGTGTTTTTTCCTAGCCCACATTCAGAGTAATTGCTTTTTTTGCAGATGTAATGCTTCCCTCCTTGAAGAAGGCAGGATTATGCGCAATCTGCAGCACGACCGTGTGGTAAAACTACTAGGTGTAATTTTGGAAGATGGAAACTACTCACTTGTGATGGAGTATGTGCACCGGGGCAACATGATGAAAGTGCTCCAAAAAGTGAGCAGTGAATTGCTTCATCCCTTGCTGCTCTTTTCGGATGATGATTGAGAGGGACAAGATGTTACTGCCATCTGCAGAGGATGCAGTCCTTTTAGTTTCTGATTCTCTTTTCTGTGTTAAAGGGCCAGCAGCACCCTGCCTGCTCTAGAGATGGCAGGTTATAAAAGCAGAATACAGCTTTGGCTTCCCTGTGCATTGCAGAGGTACAGACCACAGTTGTAGGTTCAGAGTTAATGGAGTATGTTTGTAAAAATATCTGAAGAATTTTCTTAAAAAAGGTGCTTTTGTAAGTATGGAGTGACTCAAAAAATACCATAACAGAATAATTTAGATTCAGGAAGGACCTTCAGTTCATTTCATACCCTGTCTTGAGCAGAGGCATTCATAGGACTAAGAAACAAACTTGGTTAAATACTGTTTCTTATTGATGGTTGTAATGGCATTCTTTGACATATGGCTTTCATTCATTTCAGCTCCCAATACCTCTGTCAGTGAAAGGGCGTTTCATCCTGGAGATCATAGAAGGAATGCTTTATCTACACGGGCAAGGCTTAGTGCACAAAGACCTAAAACCAGAAAACATCCTTGTGGATAAAGACTTCCACATTAAGGTGCGTGTTAAAGTGAGAATGGAGAATGCTGATAATTTGCATCACAGACCACAGTGCGTCTGCGTTCAGATGGTATTCCTGATGGGTAGATGAACTCTTCTGTGTTTCACTGAGCTATCGCTAGGACGATATTAGCAGTGACCTACACAAGCTCTGCACCTGAGATTTGCATAATCTGCCCCCATCTGTGAAAAAAATATCCCTACAGCTATTAAAAACTGAGCAATAGTAGTGAGAATTAGTGAATAATGAAACAGCTTGAAAGAAAAAAGAACTTCAGCACACATAATTTGAATCAAAAAGTATCTGAAGGATCATGTCTTTTGTCCTTTGTTGCTGGAATTTCTCATCCTGCCTCTAACTCTTTTTTCTTCTTCTCCTTTTCATCTTCTCCTCTGTTGTCTCCCTCTTTTTTTCCCCTTAGTCATCATTTTTAAATGACAGCCAGCAGCTACAAAAAAGAAAAAGCAGCAGGAGACTACTTCAGAGAATGATTTATAAACCTGTTCCAAAGTCCTTCTATTAGCTTCAGAGGGCTTTTGGATCGAGACGTATGCAGATAGAGCCCACTGCTCAATAAACCCGAGTAGAATTTGCAGCAGTCCTCATCAGTTGTTGTGGTCAAGGTGAGTTACTGAGATAATCAACTCATTACAATAGGAAACTAGTGATAGAATGTTGTGAAGAAAACTCTGGCACTTGATACTTCTCACACATAAATTAATGAGAAATAATTTGACAAGATTAAGATAGTAGCAAGTCATAGTGCAGTATGAGCAGCTTGCAGAAAAGAGAGATAAGCTTGTATTGTTGTTTCTTTGTTACCAAAACAAAAAATCCACAACAAACCCACCACCTCATTATCCATTTTAGGTTAATTGGATGATTTGGGGGGTTTCAGACTGCTTATACAGCCAGGCACAAATCAGATTGTTATCACACTGTATGACAAACCGAACTGGAGCTCAGGATGAAATTCAGAATCAGATCAGACTTAGCAGTCCGACCAAAAGTCTCATGCAAGGCAGCTATAAATGATCTGTCTGTTCAGATGCGTTTAACATTGCCAATATTTGTAAAGGGAAAAAGCACATCATAAATAATAGCTGTTAAAATAAAATAATGCAGGAGGATTTTTTATCAGGTTTTCCTCCGCCACATGAGACCTCCTCTCACTTTTAGACATGAACTTGGACCTAAGTCCTCAGCAGGTCTTAACTTAGAATTTCTTCCTCCTTGAATATATCTCCTCTGAATTTAACTGAAAGCTTTAGAAACTAAAGAGGAACAGTAAGCTAGGTAGAGGCAGCAGGAGAAGAGTTAGAAGTGAAGCAGTGTGTCACTCCAGTTGTATCTGAAGTGATTGGGTTACGCAACTAGCTGAGTTCACAGCTTCCTGTGGCCAAGTGAGGTAGTCCCACTTTCTTTCGTTTTTCCTCTCCTGTTGAATTCCTGGACTTTGGCCACCCTGTCCCCAGTATAATTCAGGAAGCCAAACCAATCAGATTACATTTTGCCTTTCTGGCCACCCTTCTGTCAGGGAGCACTTGGTTCCGCAAGCCAGTTGAGCCCAGCACTACGTGCCCTGCCAGTACAGGACCAGAATAAGCCAAGAGAGCACACAGGAGGAGTCTGTGAGAAAAGGAGGGTAAAATTACTTTGCTCACCATCAGCCATTAGTCTCGTTGTTGTAAAACAGCGCCCTAGGCTTTCAGTAATGTCACGTTTCAGTGCACAGTACCCAGACACTCTGGCTTTTACTTTTTTCATGCTGTCCTTTTTCCATGTCTCTTACAGCACATGCATTGTATCACTTTGGATCTAATTCCTCTCCTTTTTTGTAGAAAGGAGTAAGGGGGGGTTGAGTTAGATGGATTCTAAATGGAAAGGGGGAGGTGGTGATGTACATGCTTCTCATAGATTATTCCTGAATCTTAGCTGCTGCTTTTGTGGATCTTCTGTTATGCTGTGAGTACAGCAAAGCATATCTCAAACAAGATTATCACTATGAGCAAAACAGAATGTTTTTCCCCTTGCACTGTACCATTGCTCCACCTGATCTTAAGCTAATAATTAGGTTTCCAGTTGGCAGTAATATTTTATTGGGGAGGGAAGAAAAGATAAAATAGCAAACATTTTCCCCCCCTTTCCTTTAGTTACATTTTTGCAGTTTGTACCAGCTAATGTTACAACATCGAGCACTGCATGAATTACTTCCTTACCTCCTTTTCACCACAGCACTAGCTCTGACATTTTTGGGGTTTTTTTTTAATAGATTGCAGATCTTGGTGTTGCTTCCTTTAAGAACTGGAGCCGGCTGACCACAGAAGAGACCAGCAGACAGAAGAAAATCAAGAGCGCTTCCCAGAACAACGCCGGGACCCTTTTCTATATGGCCCCAGAGCACTTAGATGATGTTAACGTAAAACCTGTGGAGAAATCAGATATTTACAGCTTTGGCATTGTAATTTGGGCAATTTTTGCTAACAAAGAGCCATATGAGAGTAAGTTATTTGGAAAAAACATTAGGTTACAAGATTAAGTTGTAAACGCTAAGCATTTCAAGTTACAAAGTTAAGAATAGTGGGTTATGCTGCCTGTGCCCAAGTATAGCCCCTGTTTTTACATCTCATGGCCACTTACTGGCATTGACTGCATCATTCCTTTGAAATGTCAGGAACACAGTGCACTTTTCGGTGGCACTTGAAATACAGGCAAAGGGCCAGGTTTGGACATACAGAACACATGTAAACCTACACTCAGCGGCAGAAATTAGACAAGCCTTGGGCAGGCCAGCGTGGAATCTCTCATGTATGCTGATTCCTGACATGGGCTAAACATACCAGCATTTCTCTTTTGACAGGACTGTTCATGCAGCCAGTTACTGTTCCTCAGCTGTGTAATGCTGATCTCTTAACATGCATACATGTGGAAAAGTGGGAGCAGACCGTGGAATTCCAGAGCAACGTTTATCATTTTGCATGTTTGTTTTGTTCTGCTAACTGTTTGCACACTGCCTATGTGACTGTCTTTGTGTTCTGAGCTAGCACAGAGCGTAACTGAGATTCAGGTTCTACAAATCTAGATATGTCACCCTCACATGGCACACATGCATAAAAGCATTCACTTATCTGAACTCTCTAATATACAGAAGTTAGGGAACTGGATTCAGCTTCAGAAATCTCTCAAGTTTGTATCTATAACTCAGACTTCTTTCTTTGAAATCTTCATTTATATACGCACAAATACACAGGCTGTTGCTTCAGCTGTTCCTTTTTGCCTACGAAGATGTGACTTTGGGAGAGAGAAAAACCTGGGATCAGAATCTGATGTGAAATTTTAATTTTTCAGATTGTATAAATGAAGCCCATATTTACTTTGGAATCATTCGTGGAAACAGACCAGACGTAGAAGAAATCATTGAGGAATGTCCAAAGGAAATTATTGACTTAATGAAACAATGCTGGGAGCAGAAGGCAGAGGATCGGCCGACCTTCGCAGGTAAGGCATTACATGGGATTATTTTTGTTCTGTGTCCATCAGTAATTAGCAGTGCAGCAAACATGAAGTCCTTCTTATTAATTCTCAATTAGAAAATAAAGTGACCAACTCAGATGCCCAGTAAAACCTGTTCTCCATACACTGACTACAAATAGCATCCCGTCCAACAGTTACAGCTTTGAGAAAGAACAGCAGATGGAGTAGAATAGACCGGATGGAGACAAAACACTTTGTACATGCTGTAATTTTTTCTTCAATGTTGTATGATCCTCCTTCTCCAAAGGCTTCAGAAAAGCTGGTGTGAAGGAACATAATACATCTTGGGTACAACTGACATAATATCCTATCAAAACCTGCATCAAAAGCTGATTAGCCTTCCATTAGCAATGCAGCAGTTTGTTACTGATCATCCTTTTACGTGGTCAGAATCCAAAGCAACTGAAGTTACAAAAAGTTGACTGAGTGGTCTGATAGAAGGTGGGGAGGGGAGGGGGGGGAAATAAGAGCAATCATCAAATATACATAAGCCATACATAACATATACATAAACATACATAAGCCAGTATTTCTCATTTCCCTTTGCCTTTTCTCTCTGTCACAACAGCAGTCCCAAAAAAGAAAAACTATATGCTCAGGGAATTATGCAGAAGCACCTAGAGCTTCATATACAGCAGAATCCATATTCACGAGAAGCAAATAGACAGGGAGAAACAAATCTGCTATTTCTATATTTAACCTGCAGTGATGTTTGTAGATTCTTTGAGTAATTCCATCTTTAGTAGAAGTAGGGTAGCTGTTTATCCAATACCTGAATGCAGTTAAATGCATCTTACTTATTTTGGCAGCCAAGGGAAGTTACTTCAGCCACCAATCACTTTTCTCCTAACAAGGAATAAGATGGCCAAAAAAATCCATAGAAATAACCTTGTTTTTAACTACACTAAGGCTAAACAAGTCATGTGAACATAGACTCCAATGCGTGTTTAATTTTTTCATTGCTATTTCTGACTTGATATGAAATCTTGATTGAATTCTTGTGCATCAAGGTTGTTAACAGCATGTACTACTGATTTTCTATTGAAAACCATCTTCATCTAATTCTCTCTTTTTTTTTTTTTTTTTGCAGAAGTTAGTAATAAGTACATGCCCTTTTACTACCAAAATCTAGAAAAAAATATTGAAGATGATCTGAAGAAGATGGAAGTGAGTAATTCGTTAACTATTATTTCCTAATATTAAAGTGTCAGCTTCCCAACCATGCCGTGCCACGTCCCCAGGTACTGCCAGATTCTGCCCAACTCTGATCTAACCAACCTGATTTCCTACAGTGTAAAAATGGATGGATTTGTGAATGAGGGGAAGACAGCGTACGTCATTTACCTCAGCTTCAGGAAGCTTTTCAATGCTGTCTCCCAAAATATTCCTGCGTCCAGGTTCAGAAGTTACCATCTGGATGGGTAGACAGCCAGATGGGTTAAGAACAGATTGAATGGCCTTAGAGGGTAGTGGTTAATGGGCCCTACTTCACCTGGATTAGAATAATGCAGGGATCTGCTATACTGGGACATGTCCTGATTTACACCTTGATCAGTGACCAAAGGAGTGATGGAGTATGATCTCATAAGACATGCAGATGACAAACTATGGGGATGAATAAGTACCATTATGGTCAAGGGTGCCCAGAGCAGGCTGGGAGATTGGGATGACAGAAACCTTACAGAACTCCAAAAAAACCCAAATGCAATATGCTGCATGAGGGGAGAAACAGCATGTGGCCTCAGTGCTGGCTGGGGAGCAGCACTGCTGCAAAGACTGGGGCTTACTCAGCCTGAACAGGAGATGGTTTGGGAAAGATGTAAAAGCAGTAGTCTGTTCCTACCTTTGAAAGGTTTATTGAGAAGTTGGAGCCAAGCTCTTTCACGGCAGCACACAGAAAAAGGAAGATGAGAGACAGTGAGCATAAGGTAAAACAAGAATAGCCCCACAAGGACAGACAGCAATAGAGCAAGCTGCCCACGGCAGCTGTCCGGTCACCTACCTTAGAGGTTCCAGGATGCAGACAGACAAAGCCCTGGGGTACCTGGTCCAGCCCCATGGACAGTCCTGTTCTGGGCCGGATGTGGGACAAGACACATCCCAAGGCCCACTGTAACCTGAATGACCCTGATATGAATGACTGTGATAACACAGTACTTCAGAAAAGCTTCTATCGTGTCCAGAATATCTCACTCAATAAAATATTATTCCCCAGAGATTCAGAAGTGTCAGAATATGATTTAAAGTAAGTATAAAAAACTCTGAATTCATGCTACGTTGCTTTTTTCTTTAATGCCTGTAAATTCTCAGCATGTTTGAGAGCAGGAGCTACACAACAGCAGCAAGAATAGTTCCCATTTTTATCTGAAATCAGTTATTTTTTCCTAGTGCGTAAGTTGGTTTCTCTTCCTTTTCTGACTTGAGGTTTAGGTTTTACAGCTTATGATACAAAGAATGATCTCAGGAGTGAAAAATAATACGAGAATGAAAACTTCTGGAGTATTGGCTGATGACAGAATCTTTTTGTAGTATTAATTTATTCATTTGTCGTGACAGCTATCAGTGAGAACTGAACTAACTTCTGATATGAACTCCAAAGGTCCATGTTATGATAGCAGCCCCAAATAATCATAGGGACTAAAGAACTATTTAGAAAATGGGATATGTCTGTTCCTTTCTCAGGAAGAAAAGCATCCCTTCATATCAGACCACACAGGTGAGGGGCACAGAGTGTGAATACAGCATCCAGGCAAGTAAGGATGGTAAACTGCTAGGACAGCTTCATTAGGAACATGAGTTAGAGGGCTCAGGCAAAGCCTTTGTTGCCTCAGCACTAGCAATTGTGGACGCAAGAGTTTACAGCCCCCTAACTAAAAGGGCTGCAGGATCACAGAATGGTTGAGATTGGAAGGGAGGTGTGGAGATCATCTGCTCCAACCCTCTGTTTAGCCAAGAACACCTATCGCAGGCTGCCCAGATCCACGTTCAGGCAGCTTTTGTCCATTTGAGCAAACTGCCACTGCTTGGTCACCTAAACAGTTTAAAAATATTTTTTAAAATTTAAAAATTAAAAACCTAACCATAAAAAAAAAAAAAGCAGAAAAACCCTATACTGCCACTCTCAGAACCTCCTGTGGTTTCATTTGTTCCCAGCACCTCTTGTCCCGTCACTGGGCACCACTGGAAAGAGTGTCTTCTTTACACCATGCTATCAGATGCTTATACATGCTGACATGATCTCCTCTGATCCTTCTTATCTCCAGTCGAAACAGTCTCAGCTCTTTCAGCCTCTCTCACAAGAAATATGCTCCACTCCCTTAGTTGTCTTATCTGCACCCTTTCTGTTGGCTCTTGTACTGCAGGGGCTCAGAACTGAACACAGCACTTCAGGTGTGGCCTCACCAATCTTGAGTAGAGGGGAGGGATCACCTCCCTTGACCTACAGTCCTCCAAATGCACCAGGACACCATCAGCCTTCTTCACTGCAAGGATGTATTGCAAGTTCGCATTCAATTTGGCATCCATCAGGTCTCCCAGGTCCTTTTCTGCAGAGCTGCTTTCCAGCCAGTCAGCCCCCAGCATATATTAGTGCACGGAGTTATTCCTCCTCTGGTGCAGAACTTAACATCCCCCTTCATTGACCTTTGTGAGGTTCCTGTTAGCTCATCTCTCCACCCCGTTGATGTCCCTCTGTATCGTTAATGGAGATGTTGAACAGGATTGGACTCAGTGATGGCCCTTGGGGTACACTGATAGTTACCAGCCTCCAACTAGAATTCTAAGTATCGGTCACTACCCGCTGGGTCCAGTTATTCAACTAGTTTTCAAGTCACCGTATGCTCATCTAGCTCACAGTTATCAGCTTCTTTGTGAGGACCATAGGGGAGGCATTAATTATGAAATCTATCACTACGTAAAGATTAAGCTTATACTCATTTAGTTAAAGGTTCTCTGGCCAAGCTGGTATTTCATACTACAGTGGCATTACAGTTCTTCCTTCTTTCACAGAAGATAACATTTTGCCCATCTGTAGCAAAGCAGTGGATATTTTCTGCAAGGCTCTGCCCTCTGTAAGGGGATTTCTTCCAACAGATTCATGGGATCTGTTTGCCCAGGGGACATCACTGTGAGGATGTGTTTCTATTCTACAGGCACTTCCTTTTGTTAAGCTTTTACCTATAACTTGATCGTATGTTCTTCTCTTACATGTAGGAAATGTGGCCCGAGTCAGAAGAGTTGCTGCAGAGGATGAAATCCCTTCAAATAGATGCTGTAGTGGTAGATACCAGTAATGGCCAAATAGGTAAGTGTTCCACGTCACTTACCTAGCACAGCATTTACTCTGCTACAGATAAAGGTTGCCCATGTACAAAGCGAGTAATGTTACCATTAAGTTGCTATGGAGAGACTCAATTATTCAGTACTTCACAGAGAATTTTAATCACTGAAAAAACTAAATTTGCTCCCAAGCTCACTAAATTTTTCCAGCATCTACAGTTCAAACCCATTTTATTTCAGCCTTGCGCTTTCCTCTTCCATGCCAACAGTTTTTTCTATACTAGATTTTTCAGTAGTCAATTTGATAACTGCTTTACATAGTTGATATTCCTTCCCACCCTTTTGGTCACACCGACAAACTTAATGCTTGTCCTGTCAACTTCAACTCCACAAACTTTCCTTTTTCCCCACTCCAGCCTTTGTTACAAACCAGGACGCAAAATTATTAATAAGAAAACAAACACATTACAGTATTTTGGGATCTTGCTGCCCATAATCTACCAGAAGAGCAGTAATACATGAGTCTTCTCCCCTTTCTCTCATATTTTAAACCCTGGATGAGTTGCATGTTTTATGGAGCTGTCACATCAGTATGTTACAATGTAGTTGTTCTTGTAGTAGCACAGCTGGAATTGTTTTACCAAAGCATCTTAACAGCAAAGGAAATGAGATCCTATTTCCAACACTGACTTACAAACAATCTAAAATTCAGTAGAAATCAAATCCCGCTGACTATGCCCACACCATTATAAAGATTGTATTAAACAAGTAGCTTGGAACTGTAACAGGCAACTGATAAACCCTCACCAAAGCTACGTTAGCCATAACAGTTCTTTAGTGGAACTATTGGACTTAGTAAGGCAGGCCTATTGCTGTATTTTTACATTAGTATAGTTACATTTCCCTAGCAAAAATAATAACCTAAGACTAGAGATTACAGATGCTTTTGTGCTTTTAAGGATAAAAAGGTTTTATTGTCAAACTAGGCTGCAGAAAGATACGATCTTGACATCCTGACAAAGTCAGGTTGGTTGGTTGGTTCAGTTTCCCCAGAATGTTGCAGCATGATCTAAATTATAATTCAGTCTAATTTGGTACTTCCTTTGATAGAGAGAACTAGTTTCAAAGATGACAGACTGTTCTGTCTCTAAGTGTTACTTGCGAAAAGGTATTTGAGACAATGAAGAATAAACCAGACAAAATAGAAAGGATTAATCCTGAAATATCCAGACAGGATTTCTGCATAATTTTTTGCAGATATTACTTTAATGACAAAGTCACAGAATTTTACTGAATTTTAATGACAAAGTGTTGAATTAAATAACACCAATTATAGTGAGTTCTATTTTCCATCTTGTCATACTCTGCTCTTATTAAATGATTGAACTCAGTTAATGCAGTCAAGACTCAGTAGTAAATCAGACCCTACACATGCTGCTGGGAACCTGTTGTTTCAGTGACTAAGAACGTGGTGTTGATATCAGCAGAATAACAACAAGCTTAGACACCACCTTCCTAGACATAGTTCTGTGATACTTCCCAGAAAGGGAAAAACATCTTATGCTGGAAGTGATGCTACACTTTTATAAGTTACCATAATATTAAAAATAAATGAATAGAATCTAATGCCACCACTAGCTATGTTCTTGCAATAGAATATATTTCAAATACTTCATTTTTTTCTCTTTCAGATCAACCTAATTCTCTACACAGCTCTCAGGGTCAGATTAACGAAGCCTTGTTTGCTGCCTGCCCTGAGAACCAGCCTGTTGAGAGCTGTGAGACTTCGTTTACATCCTCTGACAATCTAGAAAGAAAACTGGAACGCGAATACGACTACCATGCATTTGGCAGCCGGATGGATAAATCAGTAGTTCCACCATACACCCCTGAAATGAGAGAGAGAGAAAGGAGACAAAAAGTTGCCAACGATCCATTTGCAAAGCTGCCTTCTGTTTCTCAGCGGAGTGAACATTATCACAAAGCTGAAAATATGGGGTCAAACACTAACCCTTGGTTTTTGCCAAAACGAGCTGCAATGCCAACATGGGGAAATTTCGATCATTTTTATGGGCCAAATGTTAACAGCCTCCTAACAGGAAACACAGAAGATCTCTATGATCCCTGCTCAACCAGTGCCTTTAGCCTAAGCAAAACTCCGGTGCCGGAATCTCGCCCAAACCTGGGGGCACAGAGCAGCATAAACCAGCAACAAAAGAATGCAGACATGGATACAGGTAAGATTCCTCCTCCTCCCAACTCTTGTGTTTCTGAGAATGTTTTTTCCTCTAAAAACAAAGCAGCCTTAATAATAGCAGACAATGGATATACCGCAGCAGCTAACAAAACTAAGAGCTGTTAGTAACCACGCCTGGAAAGCTAAGGAGTATTTTTGACTCACAGAATGTAACATTCACATCACAGGTTGTGCATGCAAAAATGGAACTTCTCTCATGATGTGTAGCATTTCAGAAAATAGGTATTTAAGCTTGATTTGCAGCAAGTTAAGAAATTCATGAGTTCAGGGAGCTAACAAGGAGCTAAAGCTCTTAACTGGTTTCTCCAGAGATCAGTGCTAACAGAGAGGTTCTCTTACTGTTTGTAGTGAACTGTGGGATAGAAAGGTATGGAGAAAACAAAGAGAACAGTGAGTGTCAATAGCAAGCAGAAATAAGCTGTCAGTAACCAGCAGCAGTTAAGATACAACTTCCAGGAACTAAAGGAAGTATTGTACACAACAGTCTTCTCCTACTAGTTACAGAAGATTTTTAGTGTGGCATTCTATTTTAGATCTTCTCGGGAAAAAAAAGTAGTAATAATAAATTGAGGACACACAGCTTCTTACAGGCAGAATGCCACAAAGTTGTTATTCTGCTCAATTATTTATGCAGAAGCTGTAACTGTTTATGAGTTTATGCACTGAAATGAGTCTAAGAGCTGTCATGTCAGAAGGCAGGAATTAGAACTGTCAGTATCACTATTATAAAGAGACCAAAAAAGTAAAAGCAGTTATAGTAGGGGGGCAACATACAATGTCATGGCAGGTACCAGACAGCTGCAGAATACCTGCACTGCAGTTCTTCCATTGTTTTATTTGGAGACTATAACCCAGTCTCTCACTGCCCCATCACAAGCTGTCAGAGCTCATCTGAGCACATCCAGATCCATTACTGTGCCCAACAGGAAGTTCCATCTCTGCAGGACGTGGCTGCTACCAACAGAAGATGCAGTGGCATCCCACGCTTTTGCTACAGCTAACACACTCACAAACCACAACCAGTCTCAGCAGTAAATAGTAGCAGTGTGCTTGGCAGCTTTCTTGGTTTGGAATTTTCAAATTTGAATATGTGATGGGTGGCAGTAATATCTGTGACTACACTGTGATCCTGCATTGCTGTCTGCTAGCCAGGTGTTCAACACCCACATGGAATCCTGCTGTCCTCACTGGGATCCAAGGATCATGAAGGCTATTTATTTCCAAGCAAAACCACGATAAGGGTAACTGCTCTAGAGTAATTCAAGGAGATAAAGTCCTGTCAATTAAAAGCTTCTTGTCTTTTCATATTTAAGTACAAATAACTGCAGTACTTATAGATTTTTCTTTTTTAAATTTGCATAATACTTGTAGCATTTCCCCTCTGTTTAGGTATCAAGGTTTCTGCCTCTTTCACAAGGGGAACTTTCACATATTATCCTCCTGCACCTCCAATAACCAGAGGTAAATGTAGCTGTAGCCTTTATCTGTCTTGATAGCCAACAATATATGCATTGCATCACAATCAGTGAGGAAAAAAGCTTCAGCATCTTGAAATAATTCATGTAATTGCTTTATATCCTTAAATATAGCAGAAGTTAGCAATGTTACCATGTAATATTCCTGTCTCTACAATTACATATCTGCACATTTATATTTGCTTGATCAAGGACATCGTCATCTTTAATGTAAAACATAAGGATTGTGCTGATCAGCCTTCCTTGGAGTACAGGTCTCCAGAGCTCAGCTGCCTTAAACCTGTCCTGTCCTTTGTCTAGGGCATTTTGCTGTGGGATGCAGTAACACTGGCTTTCAGTAAAGCACAGCTGTGTCACAGTACATGAAAACGTGTTCATGATTGCCAGTACTTTGCAGAGGAGCTTGACTAGATGACTTTTAAGGGTCCCTTCCAACTCAAACAATTCCACAATTCCTATGTTAAATACAATACAAGAATTTAATCACTCCCTTGATTATCAAAATCTTCATCCTTACCCTTCATGCAGTACTTGAATTTTTGATTTATATACAGATGTTTATAAAACTGTATTAATTTCCTTATACAGAAGATTCAGTCATGTACAACATAACTAACAGCTCCGGAATTCAAATTGGATCCCACAATCACATGAAGATTGAAGAGCAGAATCAACACATCAGCACTTCTCCTGTTGCTACAGGAGCATCTTACTTATACTATGAATCAACGGGTATATTTGGTAAGATGTACCTCCCTAGCTTTGGTGTATGATCCTCACGCAGTTATCTCTGAGAATCATTGGGTTTGGACAATGTGAGAACAGTACAACTTAGTCTGTGACTCCTTTTTTGCACAGTACTTGAAATATTTACAGATCTGTGCCAATACTGTTCTGGAATACTGTGAACCTTATTTGTCTTGTCAATATTGGATTAAGCTACCCTTTTATTCCTAAGTAAACAAAGTAAAGAGTCCCAGAATATAAAAGACATCACATATAGACATCAGTCAGCTATACAAGGACTTTAGGAAAGAGCTCTGAATTTCACAGGTGTTTAAATGATAAACTAAGGTAGACTCAGAAAAAAAAGCAAGTCCACCAACTGACTTGTGAACACGTGTGTTCCCACTTGGAGTTTCTTTTGTGGTAATTAGCTAGTATTGCCTCCACTTTTGATCCTGTCACCGAAGTCCTACCTCAAGATATTGCAAACACTTTGGAAAGGACGACTGAAGTAGCGTGGGGAGCAGAAGGAATGTTAAATAATGCTATTTTCTTATACTTTTTTTTTTTCCTTCTTCAGACAATAATACTGTCCTGACTGAGAAACAGCTGAATCTAGTGAGAGAAAAGCTAGCTAAGCAGTGGAAGCACTGTGCCCGTAAACTAGGCTTCAGCAACTCTGAAATTGATGAAATTGATCACGACTATGAACGGGATGGACTAAAAGAAAAAGTTTACCAAATGCTGCGTAAGTGGGAAATGAGGGAAGGCTCCAAAGGTGCTACAGTTGGAAAAATTGCCAGAGCCCTCTTTGGCTGCCAAAGACTGGATCTCCTTACTTGCTTGATGCAAATGAATGAGGAATAAATTGACTGAAGCTGGAGAGGGAGGCACACAGGATGTTTTTACCTGAAGACTTCCAATAACAAATAATTCTGAACAGACTTTCTGGAGCTTTTTGCACACTTTTCCTCTTTGGAATGGATTTTTCTGCCAAGCAGTTTTCAGTGAATACCTCCAGCAACTCTAAAAGTTTGTGTCAAGATAATGAGGTCTTCCAGATGTTAAAATTTGGTATTTCCCTTCCGGGAGGGAAGATTAAAAACAAAAAATTTTCCAAACATTAGACAGAGGCATTAATACTACTGATTTGAGGAAATTAAATTATACGGAATCCCCAGTCTATCTTTAAGTATGATGAACTCTTCTTTGGTTCTGAACAGAAAGTATGTCATTTCAGCAATGCTAATGGATCAGCACAAACATGAAAGACTGGCTCACTGTTTGAAAGACGTGGACAGAAAGCAAAATCAACCCTTAGATCTTGCCAATACTTACAAGGCTACTACTGTCCCAGACTGCTTTAAGTTAATGTGCTATTATTTTTATATCTTTTTATAATGTTCATTATATATCTAGAACTCTGCTGAATAGAAGTGTGAATAAAAGCAGGAATGATTTTTTTTTTTTGGTTGAAAAAGTGTGTAATTGGTAAAATAGTCTTCTTTCATGGGTTAACATTGCATTAGATTTTGTGCTGCTTGGTAGAGAAGATTTTATGGGAGTAATCTCTGCTCTGCTTTATTACATGGGAAAAACAATCATTATGCAATCCAAAATAAAGACCTGGGAAACACAAGAGCTTTGGGAAGGGGAAAGTTCTTCATTATTAGAGGATAGAAGACCCGTTCTGCTCACTATGTGACTAGGAGTATTACTAGTTACTTAAACTCCTAGGCTGCATTTATACTAGTCAATTAAAATGCACTTGGGAACATTCCATGATGCTGAGGCCAGCTGGCAAAGAGTAGCTTGCTGACAGCATAACAAATTCATTTAACCTTGAAATATTAAAGCAAGGGTTGTCTCACCACATTTAAGTTGTACTGGGGAATGTTGGAAGAGCTCTGTAGCGTAGATTTTAGTGTCCTACTGCCTGGGAATGTTCCTCATCATTCTTTAATTTACACGTATTGACACAATCATAGATCTTTCATACTGAGAAAGCAGAATTACTGAGCTGCAAGTTCTTATGCACTAAAATAATCATCCCATACTCTTCCTATGAAGAATGATACCTCTGCTTTGTTTATTACAAGCCAAACAGATTTTTTGGACCAGGTCTCTTTGCTGTAGAAAAAGCAGTAAGCGTTGATTAGCTTCTAATTGATGCCAGAAAGTTAGCAATCCTATAGAAGCATAGGATTCAGCAGCCACTATTTTAGTAAAATTAAACTGGAGTCACAGCAAATCCCAACATATTTCTCAGCTTTAGAAGCATTTAGCATAAGTTATAGTGAAAGCGGGTCCCCAAAATGAGGACTTCAGCAGAAATTATAACACAGACTGACATCCACCCAGATCCTGGAGGACTTGCACAACTTCTGTTCATATATGCTTAAACCCATTCTTCTTTTTCTGCTATTAGTCCACAGAGTGTTAATACCACCACCCACTGTGTTGCCTCGTGAAACAGATTTCAGAACAGATCTAAAAACACCCGTGTACTCAAAGCATTGATTTCACTGCAGTGCATCCATTCCATATCCCATTTGATTCAAGTCTCACACACCTGTAGTCTTTACTCATACAGTATTCTATTTTTCCCTTATAAGAACCTTGTCTTATTTGATGCACAGAATAAATAGTGAGCACATTCAGTTTTTTTCTTTATTAATGAAAGCAAGCCAAGACCTTACGTTCTGAAGTAACAATGACAACAAAAGACGTAGAAACACCTCAGTACAACAGGCACAGAGTAGTCAAAGACCTCTGAACTGGGATGTGGGAGATAGAAGTTCACTTAAGCTTTGATACTGGCAAGTCCAATTCTACACTAGTGCTCAGCATTCAGGTCACATTGTGGATGGTATAGAAAAGCAGGAGAGCTACAGAAAATCTTTCAGCACACCATTGACAGAACTCAATGACAGAGTCCTGGGCAGAGCCCAAGGTGTTATAAGCTCTTAGGTATTGTGAAAAACCACAAAATAGCACCCAATGGCTGGAAGCCGCAGCCAGGCATGCTGAAATGTGAATCAATACATATTTAATAAACTGGACAATTAACTGCTGGAATAGACTAACTATGGAATTTGTGAATCTTCATGAAGCCTTTAAACTAGTACTGGACATCTTTCTTTAGACACAGATAGTAAAAAATAATGCTAGAGGTCTCAAAGCAAGGTTAAATGGGTGAAACGTAAGAAGGACTTCCAAGGCCCAAAGAAGCGAGTTAGCACCATCCTCAGACTGAAATGCAAGGAATTTTTGAGCTATGGCAGAAGGACAATTTAAGATTACGTTCTTTGCAATAATTTGTATTTCCTTTCCCTTTCATTCTAGGCAGCCGGTCCAGAAGCTGTTTTAGCAGAGACAGAGTAAGAACTGTTTAATAGCACAGGGTTCATTGAAGTGCAGCCTCAGTCCTGTAGCTACAGTGATTGTTACAAAGAAGCCAATGTGCCGAATTCTAAAATGCCTCGAGGATTACAGCGTATTCACAGCAATTTAGTCAGTTACTATATGTTCATTACCAGCACACAAACAGCTAAGCATCTCCAGCAATCTTCACTGCTTCTAAAATATCTGCTAAATAATACCAATTAATAGTACAGAATGAAAAACTCAGAGAAGACACTGTTGTTTGATATGTGGACTTAAAGTGGGCTGACAACACTTAGCTCCCTCTTCCTGCAGCCACTGCCAACCAGAGGCAATACTCATGAACTTGGCCCTTGATCAAGTGGCTTTAAATCAGCTCTGCTTTTATCTGCATTAATTTTTTATCATCATACTACAACAAAGACCTTAATTCAGCCTTGAAGGCATGTGAAAAACAGAGTAAGAATCTTCAAGTTTCTGAAATATGCCCAGCTTGTATACAGCCAGAGGGATCTACAAACAAAGTAGGAAAGATCATCCAGTACAAGCAGAGCCAACTACCAACTCTCTAGCACTACAGAGGGCTTTCTTCCCTAGCTTCTAGTACTATCTAGTCATATGTTCTGCTCACAAAGAAGCAAAATTGCTTCTGACAGGTTCTTGGCAATACCAGAGTATTGGCAGGTAGGCCAGTAGTCAGTACAGAAAGAACTGAACTCACCTGAAAGAGATCTCTGGCTACACAGCACTATAGGAAGCAGCCTAGGTCCAGGAGATGCTCTCCCATCAGTGGCTGGCCTTTATTTGAGTCCAGGATGGCTCCACCTTCATTCCACCCCTCTGGTCACGTGGCCAACAACACTCCATCAGCAGGTGCTCAATCAACCACCAGTTCAAGCCCTGCCCTACTGGTTCCTCTGCCAAGCGGCTCAGCTTGGCCCAGCCTCAGCTGTGTGCCCATTGCTCAGCAACAATCAAACCAGCCGTGTGCAGTCTGCACTGTTATGGAAAACTGGGAGGGTGCAGTGCAGTGCTGACTCTTCCTCTTGCACTCACCACAGACACTCAGCCACATCCAAGCCACATGTATTACGTGGCATGTGCTTGTGCCACCTGGTGAGAAAAACGCAGCGATCGCTGATATTCATGTTTCAACATAGCTGCAAAATCTTTGAGGAAAAAAATAAACAGACTCTTTTATAAAAGTTAGTTACACAGCAGCAATTCTGACTGCAAAAAACCAGCCATTTACTGATGGTGAGTTTATTAAGCTATGTATGGAAAGCAAGACAGATATAATGTATCCTGATTTTAAAAAATTTATAAAAAAAAAGGATATTTCTATGATCAGTTTGTCTCATCAGCCTGTAGCCAGGTGAACTGAAGAAAGTGGAGCATCTATCAGATGAAATTTGGAGAATGAAGCTGCTAATTTCACATGTTATGCTTTGGTGACAAAATACAGATGCTACAGATACGGCCCCACTTGCCATTTTCATTAGAGGTACTGACGACTAATAAAATGTCACTGAAGAAATTGCTTCTTTGGTGTCATTAAAAGACACAACTAAATCTCTTGCTCTCTATGAAACACTAAAAGCTACATTAAAGTGATTTTCTTTAACTTTTGTCAACATATCTGGTATAGCTATTGCTGGTCCCTGCCAATGGTTGGTAAAAAAGAGGGACTTGTAATATTAATAGAAGACAATGTAATTACCACCAGCAACTCACAACTGATGAAATATCACTGCATCACACATCAAGAAAAATGAAGGGTGAAAGCTTTCACTGTGGATAACGTTGTGCAAATCATTAAAGCTGCAACTTCCACAAAGGCAATCATTCAATCCATTGGACAATTCCAGGAGCTCCTTAAAGTCTGGATGCCAATTATGGGGACAGCATTTATTTTTCTGAAGGAAGGTGGCTAAGTTGGGGGTAAAATACTAGAAAGATTTTGTGATTTGCTAAATGAAATCATGTCCTTTAAGGAATCAAATGGAAAATTTGTGCCAGAATTCAAAGATTAAAAATGGCTCACAGATTTAGGGTTTTTGGTGGGTTTGGCTGCTCATTTAAAGGAGTTGAATATGCACCTTCAAGGTGAAAATCAGTTTATCTGTGCTGTGTTTCAAATCACAACAGCATTTGAAATGAAGCTTAAATTATGGCAAGCTCAAGTTATGACCAATAATTTCATACGTTTTGACGTGTTGGCTAAACAAGGTCCTGTGAACAGCAGAAAAGATGCAGCCTTGCTTTTTATGTTGATAAAAAAAAAATTGAGAATAGGTTTCAAGATTTCCACAAGATATCATCAACTGTTTTGTATATTTGCAGCTCCATTTTCAGTCAACATGAATACAATACCTGCAAGTTTTCAAACAGGATGTATAAGGCTGCAATCAGACATCCAACACAAAGAAAATTCTGATCATGTTTCTCTCTAAGCTTTTATAAGACAGTCTTAGCACTTTACAGGACACCTCATTCACATCATCACTTTTGGCAGCACATACATTTGTAAACAAGTGATTTCGAGGATGAAGTACAAGAGCAACATTTCAACAAAAATCTCTGATGAACACCTGGAGAGCTCACTAAGAGCTGCAACCACTTCCACTGAACCAGACAACGATGCATTAATTTCACAAAAACAAGGTCAAATATCCCACTTGTTTTATGTTTTTGTTGCTGATTTTTTATTTTAATGAAAAATAAACATATATGATCAGTTTTGTTACTTACATACATTAACTATATTATATATTCTATACGTGGACCAAGACAATTCCTCTTCACTCGGCGTGGCCCAGGCAAGTCAAAAGCTTGAACACCCACAGGTAGTTTATGATCAGAACAGGGTCTAGCATACAGATTCCATTGACTGCCTTTGTGCTGGAGGAAGCTGTCCCACAAATGAAATGAAACGAAAGAGTCAGAGAACTCCTGACTTACGCTGGGTTTCCCTCCTCTCTTCAACTCCTTTCTAACGTAAGTAGGTCACTTCCTTTCTCTATAGCAGTTTCCTTATTTCTTTGGTACCGATGCTAACTTGTACCAGAACTAGGATGCAATCAGATAAGAAGCACTAAAGCTTATAGAACTCAGAGGTTCTTGATGAGAGTTGTTTGAGACAAAAATCCACCCTAATCACCTTAGTGAGTCAGTAATACCGCTTAGGTTTGAACCATGGGTTGCAATTCCTGTGCGTCCCACACATATCTCATGTCATGAGAGCTAAATGGAGATATTTCTAGAAGAAATATCTGGGTCACCAAGTTCAGCTCTTACAAATGTGAAGAGATTCATACAACCTCTTCCACAAACAAATCAAAAGCCGTCTTCTGAATGTTACTTTTGCCCCCTCCAAGGGGAAAACCGCTGTTGCTTTTGTGCTTTTATTTTTATTTGCAATCATCTTAGGAAATGCCTTGAATCTAAACAAAAATTGCACAAAGTCTTTTATTAGGACTATAGGATGCAGATCACATTCAACTTTGAAATTAAGAGACCTCCTCACACGGACACGCTTGGGCACTTTGTCTTTCTCATGCAGCTCTTTATAAGGGCATTATAGGCACACAGACTTTGCTTAAGCTAACAGACAACTATCCTTCACAAGCATAACAAATACATAGACAAACAGGAAACAAAAGAGCAATTCTTATGTACCTGTGTTTCAATTTCTTCAACCTGCAATGCTCTTTGAGCCAAGATATCTGGGATCTTTTTCTACTAGCTGTTCTGCTGATCACAAAGCACTATTTACTTACTTACATATTCTTTCAATAGAAGTCACTTTGAACGTGGCTGCTACACTAACTAAACAGGTCTCCTGATACAAGATGCTGCTGCTTCTATGCATGCTTCACACCTACAGATTTCCAAAATTAATTCCACATTTGCTCAATCTTTCTTGTTTGAAAGGTCAAAACAGAATCATACAAACATCACTATTCCACATCTTATGAAGAAAGGTTGAGGGAACTGGGCTTGCTTAGCTTGGAGAAGAAAAGGCTCTGGGGAGACCTTATTGTGGCCTTCCAGTACTTGTAGGGAGCTTATAAACAGGAGGGGGAATGGCTGTTTACAAGGGTGAACAGCCTCCTTGTCTGTCCATGGGAGGACAGACAAGGGGAATGGTTTTAAATTGAGACAGGGGAGATTTAGATTAGATGTTAGGAAGAATGTTTTCACTCAGAGGGTAGTGAAGCACTGGAACAGGTTGCCCAAGGAGGTTGTGGACGCCCCATTCCTGGAGGCATTCAAGGCCAGGCTGGATGTGGCTCTGGGCAGCCTGGTCTGGTGGTTGGTGGCTCTGCACATAGCAGGGGGTTGGAACTCGATGATCATTGTGGTCCTTTTCAACCCAGGCCATTCTATGATTCTGTGATCTTTGCTCAGAATTAGGCAATTCACCTCTATCCAACCCGTACCTTTTTGTGGAGCTGCAGCAACAAGGTTTTCTCCCACGGTGAATACACTGACTTATGCTTAACATCTGAAAACAAGAGGAATCCAAGTGTCAGAGCAAACAAAAAAAAACAGCAGGACATTCAACTTCATAAAAAGCAGCTCAAGAGAAAGAAGGAAAAACAACCTATTAACATTACACAGGCTCAAGAACCTAGTCTGCAGCAGGAAGAAACTCTATAGCAATTGCTTAGTGGAACTGGAGACAAAAGGGTGGAGCTGTATTATTTCCAGATTAAATACATCTGTGCACAACAAGTGCAGAGCCAACTGCTCCCTATGGTTGAGTCACCATTTGTGGCTGTGTTTAAAATCCATTTGGATGTGGTATTCAGGGATTTAGAGGAGGGTTGTTAGATTCAGGGTAGTATGGTTAGGTTGTAGTTGGATTTCGTGATCTTCAAGGTCTTTTCCAACCTGAGCAATTCTATGATTCCATGATATTATGTGACAGGGAGCCAGGAACTCAGCAGTTCTAGAATAGAATAATGCAGTTTGCAGGGCAAGGAAGGGTGCCACCCTACAACTGCCCGTGCATTTTGGGCCCAGATTATCTTCCATACACATCCAACCTTGGCAGGGTCTTTCTTCCACAGCTGAGGCCATTGTTTTTTGGACCCAGCTGGTATCTCTCTCCCCTCAGGCGTTTCACTCGTTCAGTATATTTTGTGGAGTTCATTTTCTCCACACACATAGGAAAAAAAAAGTTTTTGCCAGAACCGTTTCTGCTTTCCTTTCTTCAGGCCAAAGAAGGCAGAAAACCTTGAGAGATGAGTTGCACAGTCCAAGCACATAGGAAAGGAATGGCTGCTTTTGTGCCTCATTTGGCCCAGATCTGTGATTAAAGGCCTGGAAACAATGCATGGTGCAGCATATCCACCTGGTTTTCATCACAGTGACAGTGTGGATAACTGATCCTGAACCACCCAAACCTTAACTCTTAAGTGATACATAAATCCACTCATCTCCCTTTTCTCTTATCTGGTGAAGGTCTGGATTTTATCTTTCTAATTACCTCTTTTCTCCTTCTACATTGTGTTCAATGCTTTTTATCTAATCCCTCAGTTTTTTCACCACACCTTCTTACAAGTTACTACATCTTCAGCCATAGTAAGAGGAGAATGTGTAAGATTAGATGTTGAAAGGCATTTTTACAGGAATTAAACTAGATACAAAAAGTCTGAGACATCTCCCTCAGTGAAACATGAGATAGGAACCCTTTTGAGAGTTCCAAAGTTCAGAAAAAAGAAATAAACCAGTTTGTGTAGCCAAAGAGCAAGCCATGTCTTTTTGGTTTTGTTTTGTTTTTGTGAACTCACAACAGTCAGCTGTCACCATCTTTCACCAGAAGGAAGTGAGAACAGTGACACGCACAGCAAAAATGAGCCTCTGAAAGTGGAAGGAAACTGCAGGCTCTCATGTATGCCATTGGGCAGCAGTAGAAGCAGCTTGTCTCGATGGTGGATTACTTGTAATTAACTGTACTAAAGGCCTTAATCTTAAATGGTTTGATCTGCTTGGGGGATAAACCAAACCAGTATGCTCACACAGCTGTGTTAATCTCTTTACGCACTGGCATTTGCTGTGTCTGTCATTCACCTCTAAGCACTGTTGGTCCTATCCAAACAAACTGTAGTGGAGCAAGAAGGCTGACAACTTTTCACTCTCAGGATAGCCACTGAGCTCCCCGTGGGCTGGGGGAAACGTGCACAAAAACTCAGGTTGGAAAAGACCTCAAAGATCATTGAGTCCAACCACAACCTAACCATACTATCTTAACTCTAACAACCCTCCATTAAATCACATCCGAACGCTTTTTAAACACATCCAGGAATGGTGACTCAACCACCTCCCTGAGGAGCCTACCCCAGTGCTTAACAACCCTTTCTGTTTTTCCTGATATCTAACCTAAACTTACCCTGGCACAACTGATTTGGCTTGGATACATCCCTCCTGCCCAGGTCTAGGGCAGAAGATTGCACTTCCTGGGTCTTCTCCAAGCTTGGTATCAGCCCTAGGCTTTCTGTGTTGCCCCCACTACCTGCACAGCTCTCTTCACCATCAGCCCAGGCAGGCTATGGCTCAGACTGGCTTTTCTCCTCCACATGTGGCATAGTTAACGATTCTTGGTGAGGATTCTACGATTTGCATTCGGCACACAGAAGGCCTTGTCCCAGAGAAGCTACAGTCCTCAGCACAGACCCAGCCGGGGGCTTTCCTCACTATCCATGCTCAAGGCAGAGCTGCACTTCCAAATAACCACCACGGCTTCTTTTTTCCCCCAACTCCTCTCGCACAGCTAGCAAGAACAGCAGATACGCGACCACAAATCGCAACCCCCTTCCTTTTAACCCCCTTACGCAGCACACCAACGTCCAGCACCGCCTCCCTCTCCTGACTGACATTAGCGGCCGCCAATCAGAGCGCGGCAGCAGAGGCGCGTTCCCGCCGAGCGGTGTGTGGAGGGGTTGCGCTCCGCGCGTGCGCAGAGTCGCGCGGAGGAGCTGCTGGCGTGCCGTGTGGCGGCGGTGCTTCACGGTGCTGGCGCTGTACCGCCTTCACAGGGCACGCGAATGACGGCCTGAGGGCGGAACGTCCTCACAGGGAAGTGGGAGGAGGCGGGGCGGGGCGGCGGGTATCATGGCGTGGCGAAGCGGAGCCTTGGCGCTGCTGATGATACAACCTCGCGCTGCGCTGCTCACAAGCCGGGGACCGGCCGCCTCCTACGGGTAATGAAAAGCACAGTCTTGAGAGGCTCGCTGCGTGCTCTGCGTTGGATTAGCCCGGTGATTGCAGGCGTGTGCTCTGCACGGCTATAAGCCTTAACGCTGCTCGCTCCTTTACATTGCGGGCTGTGGGGCTGTCGGTGTTTGTTCGTCTGTTTGCTTGCTGTTTTAAGTGGGTTTTTGCTGGTATGATTATGCTAGGCAATGAAAAATGCGGTGTTTTAACGGACGCTTTGCAAAAACGAAGTCACAGTGGCAGCAGCAATACTGAACGGAGCTCAGACACAGAAGTTTCGTGTGGAGGAGACCTCATCTATTTTAGCGATACCCGGCTACAGGGCAGTTTCATGGGCAGCATGTTAAATATATATATAAATATATATATATATACATTTTTTAGTCCAAAAAGCGTTAAAAAAACATTGTATGTGAAACTCTAGAATTCCATTGGACTTTACACTGAGCCACGATCCAGGAGTTGTACGTCACAAGCTCATTCCTGAGCCCCCAACGTTAATAATTGATCAGGAGAAAGGTAGAGCTGTGGAAAAAGTAAAACACTGAATCTCAACATCACAACGTACATCCCTTGCCTACAAGAACTACGTGTTGGTTACCTTCTGTATGTGCTACTACTGCAGAACAATATATATGCCATAACAAGAGATTGTAATGTGTTTCACAGACAGAGAAATCCCGTTTAGAAGCAGTAAGGCTGACCCTAGCTACTTCAAAATTATGTGGCAGAAGGAGGTTTCTCCTCTGTAATACATATTTTTCCAACACATTTCTGTAGCTATGTAAAGCTGTAATTATATTCCCCTTCTTGGATGGTCAAGACTTTTTTCCTCCTTTATCTGAATCATTTAATTGCATTTGTGAAATAGGAGTACAAATGGCAGAAAAGGACCTGAGGAGATCGAGTCCAACTCCCCTGCTAAAGCAGGTTCCCTACAGTAGGTTCCACAGGGAGGTGTCCAGACAGATCTTGAGTTTTCCCATAGGAGACTCCATCACCTCTCCAGTGGTCACATAATGAACCCAACTGCACCCCTGTCAAGTCTTCTGTGCGTCTGTGAAAGGACAAGTAAACAGTTTAGATTTTCCTTTATTATCCTTCATATCTAGACAAAGTAAGTATTCTGCATTCTTTGAATGTCCTTGTAGTAATGAGAATTACCTGTCTCAATGTTTTTGTTTTCCTTGCTGCATCCCTAGTACTTCAATAACGTCTGCCAAAATCCAAGTGAATGGAGTCAATCTGCATTATCAGCAAACAGGAGAAGGGAGCCATGCAGTTCTTCTGCTTCCTGGAATGCTAGGTCTGGAGATTTTGTTTTTTTCTTTATAGTGCAACCACCTCTTTAACCATCTGCTCTTTTGCTAGAGTGCACAAACTATTTTGTAATATATCCAGCACCCAATTATAGAGCATTTTCATTAAAAGGTGAATTATTACACATATAAAAGATAGGAAAATGTAGAGGTATAGCAACCAGTTAACTGTTTTTAAAGATTTTAAATATATCTCTGGGCAACTTTTATACAAAATGATCTTGGTTCTCAATTTCTTAACTCTCATAGTCACTCATACCTTCTGGGTTGGACTGTGGGAAAAGGAATAGGGTGTCCATCAAATAGCTACAACAAGGTGCAAAGTAATGTGAGGAAAAAAAATCAGGTCAGCTGTATTTGTTATACAGCTGATTGTTGCATCCCTCTTAGGAACTAGGTGCATTTCAGTTGAATTAATAAACATTGCAGTTTATTAATAAGTCCCTATCTCAGATAACAATTCCAGGAAACTCAGTTTAAGACGCTCTTCTAGAACATCCATGCAGAGCATCATTTTTTATAAGCTTGCCTTCCTACTAGAAAGTTTGCTCTCATCATACTGCAGATACTTCTAAAGATTTTTATTATGCACTTCATGGCTGAGAATTGCAACCCTTAGTCAGAGATAAAGCATAAAGCCTCTTTTTTAGAATTAAGATACAAGTTTCCCCAGTTTCCATCAAGAGTATATATGCTGTATATGTATTATGGTGGTTACTTTAATTGAAGAATGATGGTTTTCCAGGGAGTGGTCAAACCGATTTTGGACCACAGCTCAAGTCCATGAATAAGCAGCTATTCACAGTTGTCGCTTGGGATCCACGAGGATACGGACAGTCCATCCCTCCCTCTCGAGACTTCCCTCCAGATTTCTTCGAGAGAGATGCAAAGGATGCTGTGGATCTTATGCAGGTAAATCTATTCTCAGATTTTACTGTAAATATAAAACTATTTTTCTTAAGTTTTGCAGGTGAAAGAGTGCTGCGAAGTACGTGTTGTGCTTTAAGCCCAGCAGGCAGCTCAGCAGCACACAACTGATCGCTTAGTCTCCCCTGATGGGATGGGAGAAAGAATCAGAAAGATGGCAATCACGAGTTGAGATAGACAGTTTACTAGGTAAAGCAAAAGCTGTGCATTCAAGCAAGGCAAAATAAGGAATCCATTCAGTACTTCATATTGGCAGGCAGATGTTCAGCCACAGGAAAGCACAGCTCATCACACATAACTGTTACCTGAGAAGGCAAACACCTTCATTCTCAACATCCACCATGTTCCGTCTTCTTTTCCCTTAGCTTGCTTGTATTGCCAAGCATGCTCTCATGTATGGGACATCCCTATGGTCAGTTGGGGTCAGCAGACCTGACTTTGTCCCCTCCAAGCTTCTCTTGCACCCCCAGCTTCCTCAGTGCAGATCAGTATGAGAAACAGAGAAATCCTTGACTGTATAAGCACTGCTCTGCAATAACTGAAGATATTGCTGTGTTATCACTGTTATTTTCATTAAAAATCCAAACTACGTCATCATACAAGCCTCTGTGAGAAATTAAATCTATCCCAGTGAAAACCATGACAATACATTATTTCCAACAGAAAACACGTTAAGCTAAACATACAAATGAAGGCTTAAAACTGGGCAGATATGCACTGTTCTGGAAAATATTTTCTTCTGCAGTGTATAGAGAAGTTCAGCTTTGGGAATTACAAAGCAATAAGTTCTTATTCCAAAACCTTGCCCTAAGAGATTTACAGATGAAAACCAGTAGGTTTAGGTAAACTATATATGAAAAACAAGGACTAAGCCAGGTGATTTAACTAGAAGAGGTTACAATAGTGAAAAGTTCTTAGAAATTTTTCTAGCTAATACAAGCTTGACATTTTACCTCGAGCAATGCAGTTCAAGAGACATCTGATCTGAAAACTGACTTGGCGCTTTGCATTTTACAGCCTATTACTGCAATAATTTCTGTAGGAAATCAAAGGATTCCTGTAATCATATCAGATCTTAGCTAGCGCTGTTATTGTGATTATGAAGACTACGATTCAAAGTTGTTATTATCTCTCCATCTTACAGATTTTTTGGTTTTATTTCAAATCTATGTTCCTAAACTGTGTTTTTACTCCATCCTCTAAGTGCTAACACTGTTTTCTGGTTTAGTTCTAACTAATATTTTGGCCTTGTTATGTTAAGCTATACAGTTTCGTTGGCCATGTTAAGAAAGTTGGCAGAGCATGAAAATTCCAAAAATATGAGAGAAGATTCAGTCAGTGAATCCAACTGTATTTAACTGTAACGAGCAGTAACCTTACAGAAAGAACCATATGAAGCTGGAAATGCAGTCTTCCTCGAGTATTCTGTGTGGTGAAACAAAATAAGTCTGACAGCAGAATCAGGATTAAAATACAGTTGTGCCCTCTAACCATATAAGCAATCTCTCTGCACAGTAAGTCACCAATTTCTTCTACACAAACAAAGAAAAGAAAGCTGCTATCTTGGGTAGGTGACAAACTTTCTGTTTAAATGGTTGGAACTCCCTTTCCCTGCCTCTGTTGAAAAACTAATAGCTGCAAAATAGAAAACAGAGCTAGAGCTGTCCTTAAAGAGCATATAATCGTAATGCAGGCAGTCAAAGAAGGCAGCAGTCCACAGATTTCTAAAGCTGCCAAAACAAATGAGATGTGGCATCCTGTTTTTTTGAAGATGTTCACTGATGTAAGCATGTAACAACTATTTGTTAAAATCTTCCCAAGGGCAAGTAACTTGATTCTATTTTAGCACAACGTGAAGGATAGCACAAATCCCACGTAATCACCCTAACTAGGATTTCCAGCATAAAACAAAGTCATAGCTCCTGCAGAGGGCTGTCTAATGATATGTGGTTTGCATGCAAACAGCCTGCAGACAAACAAAACCCATTGGTATGGGTGAGCCTTCAGTGCCTTTATTCTGGGCTCTTTCAGATTCTGGTGCCTCTCCTGGAGCTGTGACTGCTGCAGGGTTTCAGTGAAGTAACAGAAGTATAAATTCTGAAGAGCGTTTAGCACCTTGATGCAGATGACAGTGCTACGCATCAGTGAACATGTTCTGCAAAGGAATTGAGATAAAATTGAAGGAGTCTAATGCATATAGGTCCATTCTGCTATACTCCATCCCAATCTCTAACAAAAATCACAATGAAGGCCCAAAGCATTAAAAATTAGTACTGTGGAAACAGTCAGTTGATATTTAAGAGGTTCTTAGTCTGGAAATCTACTGTTGAAGTAAAAAGGTGGCTTTGGGCTTCTCCCAGTTTTTGTTGATCAACTGTAGACCTTGTGGCATACT